CTATTCTGGTGGGGTTTTGTGCATCTCATTGTAGTTTTAATTTGCATTTTCCTGACGAACAATAAGGATTAAAACCTATTCATATGCTTGTAGGCCACTTGGATGTTCTCTTCTGTGAAGAGCCATTCAATTCTTTCTATTTTTTAAAGTTGGATTGTCTTTTTCTTATTGATTTGAAGGAGTTTAAAAACATATGTATATACTGAATACAGTTCCTTTGTTGGATAAATGTATTGTGAATATTTTCTCCCAGCTTGTGGTTGGCCTTTTCACTCTCTTAAGGTGCTTTTGATAAATGGAAGTTCTTAATTCTAATGAAATCCAAGTTGACAATCTTCTTTCATAATTAATACTTTTTATGTCAAATAAGAAACCTTTGCCTACTGAAGGTCATGAAGATATTCACCTGTGGTTTGATCTAGAATATTTACTGTTTCACCTTTCATGTTTGGGACTATGATCCATTTCAAATTATTATCGTTATTTTTACTATTATTTTTATTATTATCGTTATTTTGGTATCTGGTGTGAGGTAAGGGTCACGGTTCCATTCGTTTATTTGTTTGTCCTTGTCCCAGGACCATGCTGTCACAATTACTACAGCTATATAGCTAGTCTTGATATCTGAGAGTGTATGTCCTCCAATTTTGTTTTTCTTCAAGATGTTTTGGCTATACTAAGCCCTTTATATATCCTTATAAGTTTTAGAATCTCCTTGCCCAAAGCACTTTTGGGAATAGTTTTGAGCTTCTTAAGTCAGCCTCCCCATGCCCTCCCAACTTCAATTTCTAGGTAACGTTTTGAGCGAGAAACCAGCAGCGTATTTGCGGCAGTCCCCCTCCCTCTAGTGAGAATTTGTCTCAGAAATACTGCGATACTTTACGACATTTCACTCTGCGTTTTCCGCGCGGGCGCCAGCCTAGAACTCAGCTAACTTCTTCGAGTGAGTAAAGCTACCCCTGCGTTTAAGGCTTCTTAAATTTACAATCCATTATGCTAGCCTCAAACTTTATGCAGATTTCTCGTTCCTTGGTAGAGACCCTCTGCCTTTGGGCCAAACCTTATCTTCAACTTGTTCCCAGAATTAGCAAATATCTCGGGGGAAGAAAAAAGACCATGATTATCAGCTCACTTAGGAAGGGCTCTTCCTCTCTGAAATCTTAGTTACTCTTGTCCTTGTTTCCAAAGGTTGCAGATATCTTTAAACCTATCAATTTTGCAGTTTATCCGTTTTTTCTTTTTTTTTTTTGGTGGTTGTTTTTTAGTTGCGATGGGAGAATTTACATCTCGCTTGAAAGCGAAAGTCCAGAAAACATTTACTAGGCAAAACCTTGACCCTCTCATCCATCTCAGCTCTATCACTGGTGAATAGTTTCTGAGTGTTTGGGCCCATTCAGTAGGTCAGTGGAAGAGCAGATAAAATGGACACATTTCCATAACAAATAATGGGGATCCCTAAGGGGACTGATCAGGCTCTCTCTCTCTCTCCGCCTTGGTCCTCACAGCCATCTTGGAATTCAGCCGGTTTCCAAGGATGGCAAATGAGATTAACATTCTCAACTGTATTCCTGTTTACAATGAGATGTCAGCTGTGGCCCGAATAAGACAAATTTTGCTCCTGTAGGTACTTGAATTTGTGCCCTCTGGCATAGGACTTTAGGAGTCAGACCTGGGCTGACTTCAGGTTCTACACCTTTAATTACCATGTGACCACAGGCAAGTTACTTAATTTCTCGGATCCTCAGTTTTTCCATCTGTAATTTCATAGGATTATTTTGAGGATTAAATGTACTAATGCAAGAAAAGTGGGTTTCACAGTGCTTGAAACATAATAGGTCTTCCATAAATGTGAGCATTTATCAGAATAATTATTTATGGCCATGTCATCCCATCTGAGATATAGTTCTTGAGGCTGAGAATTGTGCTTGGTTACTTTTTTGGGGGGAGTAAAATTTATGTACAGTGAGATGCACAAATCTTCAGAGTACCATTCAATGAGTTTTGACAAACGCATACTCCTCTATGACTCAGAATTCTAAAACGTAATCATTACCATCATCCCAGAGAGTTCTCTTTTACCTCTTCCTAATCCGTTCCCACTCCTTTAGATGCAAGTGCTATTCTGATTTTTTCCACAATGGATCATTTTGCATTTTCTAGAGTTGCATATGAATTTTGAAATCATATAGTACGTATTCTTTTGTATCTGGCTTCTTTCATTGAGTATAATGTTTTTGATGTCCACCTGTGCTGTTGTCCCTATCAGTAGTGGCTTTCTTTTTATTGCTGATTAGTATCGCATTGTATGAATATACCACAGATTATCCATTATCCTTTTGATTGACATCTGGGCTCTTTCCACTTTTTTTTTTGGTGGCTGTTATGCATAAAGCTGCTATAACCATTCTCGTAAAAGTCATTTTGTGAATTTTCATTTCTTTTGGGTAAATACCTTGGAGTGGAATTGCTGGGACTAGATAGGGACTTGCTTAGTTTTATAAGAAACTGCCAGATGTTTTGAAAGTGGTTGTACCATTTTACACTCCCACCAGCAACATGTGAGAATCCTGGTTGCGCTACATCTTTGTCAACATTTGGTGTTGTCAGTCTTTAATTTTAGCCAGTCTAGTGAGTGTGTTGTGGTATCTTATTGTGATGTCAATTTGCATTTTTCTGATGACTAATGATGTGGAATATATTTTCATGTGCTTTTTAGCTACTTATTTTCTTCCTTTGTGAAATATTTGTTCAAATCTTTTACTCATTTTTTAATAGGTTGGTTTGTCTTTGTATTATTGAGTTGAAGGGGCTGTTTATATTCTGGTTACAAGTTCTTTGTCAGATATATGTTTCGTAAATATTTTCTCTTAATCTGTGGATCGGCTGCTCATTTTATTAACTGTGTGCTTTGATGAATTGGTTTATATTTGTATCCCCTGCTATCCTCATGCATGATTGAAACTTGATAATATTCACTGAATGAAAGATCTAAAAGTTCTTCCTCCCTCCCTCCTTCCCTTCCTTCCTTTATTCAATGACACTTAATGATTAACTGCTATGTGGCAGCCTCCCTTCTGTGCCTTGAGAACACAACAGAAAACAAAACAGACAAGCTTCCTAATCTCATGGTGCTTGCATTTTAGTTTATATGTATGTGGGGGTGGGTTTGGAGACAGAAAAACAAATAAATAAACAAGAAAAGATGAGGTAATTATAGGTGCCATAATGCAAAAATGCACTGCATACATAATGAGAAAGGGATGATTAGGGGGCTTTCTTCAGGTTGGAGGGTCAGAAATCTGAGGAGATGATATTTAAGCTGAAACCGGAATGACAATAAACTGCTTTTTTTCAGGGGGATCCCAGGCAAAGAGAACGTCTAATAAAAAGGCCCTTAAGGTGAGTTGGGGCTAGGCACAAACTACCCGAAATACCCTTTTAGGCAAACTAAGGTGTCAGGGGTTGGTTGCTTTGGGAATCGGGGTAACTGGAATAAGCAGGTGCTATACGCTTAGTCTTTCTTAGCACTGCAGAACTTAACATTTTCTCAACACCTTCCCTGCCCTCCTGCAACCCCCAGCTCCTAGGTTCCAAGAAACTTTGAAGATAGGAATTGTGGAATAGCTAGCACAATGGTCAACAGAGTTAAGGCTAGGTCAGGAATTTTTTTTCCCATCTAAGGGGATCAAGTGATAGAAAAAATAAATCGAGTTGCATAAGTAATAAGTAACTACATTTGTCTTTATAAGATAACAAAATATGAAATGTCCTACCTCTCTGCTTTTTATGTTTAGATTCTATAGTGTAAAACTCTATAAATACACTATCAAGTTGATAAATGGAATATAATTTATTTTTAGCTTTTTCCCAGTTTAGAGAGAGATGGAAGGAAAGATGATGGAAAGGGATAGTAGAAGATGGAGATACAGAGAAAGTGAAATAGAAAGAAACACGTAGGTAAATAGATGGAAGTATATAGACCAAGAGGAAGAATAAAAGAGTCCTAGAGGGAGGTAGAGAAGCTGAGACAGAAAACAAAACCTGGTGAAAGTGAAGCCAGAAGTTAAACAGATTTTGCGTGAGTGTGTTCATGTCACCCTCTGTGCCCTTGGGCTCTGAGCACCATAATAGTTGGTTATTGCTTCCTTTGAAAAATGTGAGGGGGCTCTCCGGTAATGTTTAACACACCCCTTTCTCCTGTGTTTCCCTTCTGATGAGCTGAGTCATGCTCTACATTAATACCAAATTGTGTTCAGGATTTCTTTCCGTTATTTCCTTCCACCAGACTGCTTTTTCCTCTAATCAAAAAAGCAGAGATCCAAGGCCAGCCCAGTGGGTAGGCTATTAAGTGCACACATTCCGCTTCAGTGGTGTGGGGTTCGCTGGTTCAGATCCTGGGTGCAGACAGGGCACCGCTTGGCAAGCCATGCTGTGGTAGGCATCCCACATATAAAGTAGAGGAAGATGGGCATGGATGTTAGCTCAGGGCCAGTCTTCCTCAGCAAAAAGAGGAGGATTGGCAGCAGTTAGCTCAGGGCTAATCTTCCTCAAAAAAAAAAAATGCAGAGATCCTTTGAGTTAATAAAATAAATTGCTATGCCACTAGTACCCATTCTCCCATATTTCAGATGGAAAGTTGCCTCCAACCAAAATCATGCTTTCTGGTCATCATGGTTGTGACAACATGACATCAGGACAAACTGCATGTCTACTATGAAGATTTTAGACAAAAAAAAGTTTTTGTTTTGTTTTGTTTTGTTTTTTGCTGAGGAAGATTCACCCTGATCTAACATCTGTTGCCAATCTTCCTCTTTTTGCTTGAGGAAGGTTCGCCCTGAGCTAACATTTGTGCCAGTCTTCCTCTATTTTGCATGTGGGATGCCACCACGGCTTGGCCACAGACAAGTAGTGTAGGTCTGCACCTGGGAACCAAACCTGGGCTGCTGAAGCAGAGTGCACCAAACTTAACCACTAGGCAATGGGGCCAGCCCCAAAATGTGTGGTTTTGACAGGACTTATGCTAAGTGGAGATAATATATAACTGAGTGGGTCAAACCAGGCTCTCTGGAGACCAGTAAGCTCCATGTGAAAATCACAGACCATCTGACTGATGGTTTTCTGTTCTCCAATAAAGATCTAAGGAGTACAGTTAGTGGGAGGTAAAGCCTGTGGCTTGCTGGGCCTTCACTCTGGTCAGAACTGCTGTAAACAGAGCAGTGATAGATTTGGCAATATCTTAAAGGAGTGAGATGGGTGGCTACTTCCTAATACTCCCACTAGGAAAAGCTTGGCTTAGGCTGGAGAGAGGAATTAAGCCCAATTTGAAGGACTGGTCACTAGAAATTTAATGTGTTTATTTTCCCAAGAAAACAAATGGCCAAAGGTATATAGCTACACTGATCAGCCATGGACTGGAGATATATGCTCTAATAAATGGAAAATTACAGACTAGACTATTGTAGGAAAAACAATCTGGTGAAGAGAGATATGGAAAGAAATCAATGAAAGGAATTCAGCAATTCATGTAGGACACGTACCAGCTCACTGGAACAGAAAGAGAGAATAACTTATTTAGAATAAAAGAGGAGACAACCTGCCCCCCAAAACTAATGTAGACTCTGCAGTCTTGGGAAACTCCAAGTCCGCACTCAGCTCCCTTGTCAGTTCAATTTAAGGTTGCAGAATGGGCATGTGAAGCCTCAAGGCATATGAACATGAACGTCCTAGGCAAGCAGAGGAGACAGTGAAAAAAAACTGAATCAAACGAGTAAGTAAGCTATAAGAGATATATCAAATTACTAAAAACTTGCATACTCAACAAACTCATTTTTAAGGGAAGTGGGGGTGGTAAACCAGACAGATGTGACAGGTGGATTATATTGGGCCAATCTATAGATTTTTAAACAAAGAATATTGCCTTACAGAAGTGTAAACTTGCTCACAGAGAAGGTTTGCAGAGCACCCTAGACATGCAGATGAGAATGGTACAACCATGGCTTTGAACGAAGTTGGAGGAACGAGCTGCTAGATATGGAATATTGGCAATAATAGGAAATGACCAAGAGACTAATTTTATAACAGAAGTTGTCCAAAATTTGGCAAAAGACAGAGAATGTGGGACTTTTCATTTACCATAAATTCCCCAGGCTGCTGGGACAATTGGAAACTTTAATGAATGGATTATTAAAAACACAGAAGGAATTTAGCAGCACCAGATATAAATGGCAATGAGGCAAAGGTTCTAAGAAAGATGGAATTAATTGAAAGACTGAGTGAATGTTTCTTCCTGAACAGAGATGTTCAAGAAAGATATACAAACTACTTTTGCTCACTGTTCTCAAATCTCCTTAGAAGAGGTAAAGAACATGAGTAGTGTAAAGGAAAGAGTATGGGTGGTAGATCCTCATAAGGCCATCAGAGATGGGGGAGCAATAGCTAGGGCTACCCTCTCAACCTTATGCTAGAGCCAAAACCTGTAGGATGGGTAAAGCCTCAAAGGATACTAATCTTTATATTTCTCTTTTCTATTATTAGATCTGCTTTGCTGTTTTCTCTTGGCTGTGGCAATCTGTCTGATGGTCATTGAAATAGCAGTTCACTACCAATACGAACAAGAATACCATATCTAAATTTTGAGGGAAGTTCACCAACTTTATCAAAAAGTGCTATAGGACCACTGGCCTCATTCTGTACTTAATCATTATCATAATCTTATCAACAGTCTTATTTCTCGACCAAACCAACCGCTGAACCATTGCTAGCCCAAAAGGATCCATTGTCACCAAGGGCCCATTTGCTATAGCTTTTAGTAATATTTTATCTACTCGGAAGAGCACTGAGCCATGGAGTCTGTGTCACTCCCTGTTCTAATTGATGGACTTGTTGATTGTGTAGCCAAGTTAATAAGAATAGCTGAAGGGCTTTTACAGTTGATTTCACAAGAACAAGTTCCTTGTGTACAGCAAAATGATAGAGCAGAACCGATAGGAGCAAATGCATCTCCTTTCGAGGAAGCTCCACTGCCAGACCTTGCTGAACTCTCAGATTTAGAATCAATACTTGCGCCAGGAGAAGATGAAGACCTAATGTTTGATATAGATCAAGCTATGTTAGACACAGGTGAATTATCTGAAGACATACTCTCTGGGATAAATGAGGACTTAAAAAATGAATAAGACCTAATTTTCCCCCTTGAGAATGTGAGAATTGATCATTTCCCTGTTTCAGATATATTCTGATTTTTCTGAATGTTGTTAGCAATGTGAGTTTTCTCCCAGTTCTGCACATTTACTAATTTCATTACTAATACCTTATAGAACAAGTAATATTTGATTTAGTTCCAGCAGAGGCTGGGCTCTTTTCTTCTTTGAATTTATAAAATGTTCTGACTTTTGCTATATGGTTCTTTCTTTATCTGTACTTATTCTCCTGCTAGGATTTCTGATAACAGGAGCAAACAATAGCAAAGAAAAGAAACTCCTCACCTAACAATGGAGTGAAGACCTGATGAACTCTATCACGTCATTGGACCCAGTTTGACTGTTCTACAATGAATGGAAACCAAAAGGAGAATATCCCCTAGGATGGTATTATAATGAATACATTCACATTAACAGAACAATATTGGGACACTTTTACTTGAAAAGGTATAACTCCTTACTAGGCTTTCAGGAGATAATGAGTCAACCAAAGGATGCTATAGCAGACCAGGGGAAATAACTCTGAAAAAGCAGCATCTATCAGATAATAAAACAGCAGAAAGGCTTTCAGAGAACTTTTGCCAGGGAGAAACCTTTGAAAAAGCTGAGGCCAAGAGGTTCCAATGCAGGACTGTTCCCTCAAAAGCTGACCCACATCATAACTACTCTGCAATATTGTTCCCAAAATGGAAATGGCAAATTATACCAAATAACAACGAGAAAGAATTACTAGTACTGGAGGGCTAGACAAAGCCCTGCAAGGACTATTCACCGATGGAAAGTCAAACACTTATGGCACAGGCTTAGAGACGATGGCCCACAAGTAGAAGTGGATAAACTATATCTTCTTGGGTATAGCTAAGTTTATAAAGAATAGCTGATAGGCTTATTATTGTGACCCTCCTACAACCTTGACATAGAAATCTTAACTATCGAGAGATGGGAGCAATAATGAACTTCAAATGTGGACTGGTATTCAGCCGCAATAATTCTACAGATACCAGAAGAGGAAATGCAGTATTTGGAGGACCCCTCTATCAAAACAGAGAGGGATAAAATAAATGTGCAGGAAATTCACCAATCCTGCTAATTCCATGCCATACAGTACAGTCACTTCCTTCTGGAAGAATAGCCACCCTTCAGACAAGCCGAGGGACACTATGGTCCTCCCTCCTGCAGAATGGCTTTTGCATCGTATGACATGGGCAACAACTAGGTAAAGACATAAAAGTGTACTACTAGATAAAATGGTGTATGCGAATTGTGAAAAAATGACATGTATAAGTTAATCCACAGTGGTGGAAACCAGACTATACCAATTCAGATAGAGTCCTAAAGCATATTATAATCAGAGAGATTAAAAAGACATTTAATACAGATGACTTCAGGGCTAACCAACATAACAGATGCTGCATCTAATGCTAAATGAGGTCTGGATACACAGATAATTAGCTATCTTTAAAGGTAAACGGGGAAAATTATAGATGATATAACCAGGTCTTATTTGGATGAGCACTAGCAGGTGAAACATGTCCGTTTTTTCACTAAATTTCAGAATAAGTTTATTGAACAAATTTGAAAAAGAGACTGCTGTATCAAGAAAAGCTGCCACAGACCTTTTGGAAAAGCAGAAGAACTTATGGAGCTACTCAACGTCTTAGTATGAGAAAGTTCCATGATAGACTGCTATGTGGAAAAATTTATAGAGTAGATGAAGATCCAGGAGACTTAGGGAGGTGAACAGAGGCACAAAGAGGAGAAATAAAAGTTGTATCATCAAGGGGCTGGCCCCGTGGCCGAGTGGTTAAGTTTGCGCGCTCTGCTGCAGGCGGCCCAGTGTTTTGTTAGTTCGTATCCTGGGCGCGGACATGGCACTGCTCATCAAACCACGCTGAGGCAGCATCCCACATGCCACAACTAGAAGGACCCACAACGAAGAATACACAACTATGTACCGGGGGGCTTTGGGGAGAAAAAGGAAAAAATAAAATCTTTAAAAAAAAAAAAGTTGTATCATCAAGCAACTAGTGTAGATAATTACAAGCCATACCAGACAGGACATTGAGGGACTTTCCTGCTGCAATGACTGGACAAACCGAGCCTGCCTTTCCCCGTGAAGGCGACTCTAGACATACACTGTAGATATACACTTCGGCAAGCCCAAGTGTAAAGGGACGATGCCAAATTAACTTAAATAGAGCAGTGGGAAAGCTAGAATAATCAGCTTATCCCACCATTCCAATAGGAGCAGTTTTACAAGGAAGATTAGTACTAACAGTTAAACAAGGAAATCCATACATGTACCAACCAAGAAAAATAACAGAGGAACTGGATAAAAGTTAAAAGTAGAACCTATGCCTTAATTAAAGATTTAGAAACAGCCGAGGAAGGTATACACTCTCCACGAGGAATTTGGACTTTAGGAAATTGGGCTATCATTTTCTGTCAAAATAAAACTCAAAGCGTAAATACTTGGGCAAGATCAGAAAACGTATCCAAGGAGAGACCATCAGTCTGCTACAAATTCTATTTGGTGAGCAGTTTAACTGTACGGGCAGGTGTGGGGCTCCTGAAGTATGGCAGATACTGAAGGGTAGCTATTCCAAGTAGAACTCTGGAATATGGACTTTACAGCAATTCCTCAACAGATTAATGTGAGCTTGTTAAAACTGTTAGTATTAATGAGACAACGCAAACAACCATACTAACTCAAGCAAGTCATCAAAATCGTCAAGAGAAATCTGAGACCGCTCTAGACCTTGAAACAAGATAAAGCTTGAACCAGCCTCTAAAACAACTAATGGTCAACGTGGTCCTTATGAGTCCAAGCAGGAAGACACTACAATCTCATAATATGTGAAACTGGCTAGCCTCTTGGCTAGATGGCTCACCTGGAAAGATTGTACTATAATGGCATCTCAGGACTAGATAAAAAATATATTGCAATGTTTGTTTTGATTTTGTGATTATATCTGTTTAAGAATTGGTAAGATGTAACCCTGCCCTAAGCAATAGATTGTTATATTAAGTATGTTTGCTCTATGGAACAGAATTAGAAATAGAGTTAATAATGGTAAGAAATAAGTGTAGGAAATAAGAAAATACTTAGGAACAAGTGTTAGTAGGGAAGGTATTTTCCGGGGAGAGAAGAAAAGTAATAAGTTGTCAACAGTTATGCAGCTGTTTATGGTGGAAAACCATGGTGTAGAGTTAGTTTCTAAGCAGGTTATGAACCCAAGCCCTGTTTTTGTCATATGCAAATTAGGCAACCCTGAGTTGTTGATGTTGATACAAAACAGCTGATTGGCAACTGATACAAGTTATGCACTTACCAGCCCAATTAAAGGGACATATGTTAACGAATTTGGCAGTCCACTGATTAGATACCTCTGATTGAAATCCTGCATCTTTCCTCCAGGAGGATGGAGAGAGTGGCTAGTCCTTTATCCAAACTAGCCCTTTTCTGGATCTTCTTAAGACCAACACTAAAGCCAATTCTTGTATGACATGGAGCGATAGAGAGGAAGACAGGCTCATAATTCTGAGACAAACTTAAAGGTGTTAAAACCAAGGAAGATAGGCTGGTGGATGGCAATGAATTAGGAAGTTCATCTCTGTGTGCTTTGGCTAAAGTGTGTTGGAATTTGTGACTACATATTTGCATCCTTATGTGTGATTATTACTGCCAGTTATTAGACTACACTTGAATCTAATTCTTATTAGCTATTGATCCACACCAATTTATTGTTATATGTTTTAACAGGTTTTAACTAATAAACATTCATTCAAAAATCAGAGAACTTGCGGTCATCTTAAATTACCCGGTGGTGAATTTGGAGGCTACCAAATTGGCGTAAAAGACCCGATTCAACAGAAGTGGAGTGTACTCAGAGAGAGTATTGTACCAGGAGTCTGAAGTTCTATTTCTGGCTTTGTCGGATAATGCTGAACAAATCTCTGAAATATAGTCCTTTGTTGTTTGTAAAATGAGAGTTATAATTTTTGTGCCTACCATCAATGGCAATTAGGAACAAATAAAATGATAGAGTTTTCAAAGCCTTTGGTATGATATATCTGACAATGGGACGGAATATATGAAATCAGGACTTTTTAGGAATATCTGAAACATGTCTATATGACAATACCTGAAAGTCTATGTGTCATGAAAAGATTATCCAATAGTTTTACCTGTGTTTTCTAACAGGTTAGACCTTCTTTATCTTACTCCATGTCAAAGTTATAGTCTGAAATCAGCTTTTGTTTCATTCTTCTGAACTTGTTTTTTCTTTTTTTTTTTACAAAGTTAAATTCCTTTTGGGAGTCTGCTAGAGTTCTAATAGGAATAGTAATGAGAAAAAACAGCAATGAAAAGCCTTTCAGGAAATACTGGATTATATTCCATTTAAGGCTAAGACTTTGTTCCTGAGGAGGTTATGTAACACTGAACAATAAAGTTCACTATCAACCAACCCACTATCAACCAACTGGATTTTAATAATTGCTTTTTATGTCAAAGCTGATTATTTTGTTCTTGTATTGATAGGCTTATCTTAATAGACTGGAGGTAGTTAGCCATTTCCTCTTGCATATACTTCTTATATTTTCAAGGACCCTATTCCCTCCAGTGCATTTGAAACTTGTTTGTCTTCTGCCTATATAACCGATAGCTCACAAGCTGACTAACCAACCAACCAAAAAGCCCTAAAAAACAAAAAGAATAGCCTTTAGTTCCTGAAGTTATTTGGGAGTTACATGGATTGACAGATACAACTATCCATTGGTCTCAAATGTGACATCTCTCCAGGGTAATAAAGAATGTTCGAAAGTGATCTCCATTTACATCTCTGAAGAATGGAACTGCATTTTAGCAACGTAAGGAAAACCACTGAACTCTTTAGCCCTGTCACAATTTCATCTTAAAGACCCTAGTAAAATGCTGAAAACATCTTAAGAGGTATTTTTTTGTTTAACGTGAATATTCATGTAAAGTGGACTATGGAGCCACAGTTATGAGATGCAACTTTAGTGTTTCAGATTCCTTTAATCAATGATGCCATTAACAAAATCTGTTGTTGAAAACACATGCCTCTAGATTATAACAAATTCTGGCAAAATTGATCATTTTTAATAGTTTTATTCTTACTTAAACTTGGGGAAACATTGGCCTTTTTTTTTTTTTGAGGAAGATTAGCCCTGAGATGACTACTGCCAATCCTCCTCTTTTTGCTGAGGAAGACTGGCCCTGAGCTAACAGCCATACATTGGCCTTTCTTGAAGCTATATCTTCTAAATTTTAAATATTGGCAGCCCCCTAACTTCCAGTTTTGGAAAATCTGTTGTGTTGCAGCTCATTTTATAGAGAAAAATATTGTCTGGTTTTGTTTTGTGTGTGTGTGTGTGTGTGTGTGTGTGTGTATGGAATACAGCTTTTTGGCTCAAGGTTTAAGAGACAGACATGTTGTTTGTTTGAAACATTTAGATGTGCGTGAGCTTATCTTTGGGTACTTTTCCCTGGTGCAGGAGTCTCCAATGCTCCCCTCTTACAAACCCTCCCCTGTTGAGAAAGTTCCCATTTGTACTATGTACTTCTGCCCGGTTGGAATCACAGCATGCTTTAAATGATTGAACAGGGTGTCAGCAGGGATGACACGAGGAAGTGGAGAAGTGGTGCATCTGCTCTTTCCTGTTCTGAGTCCTGTTCTGAGTATAGACACTGAGGAAGCAACCTACCCATCCTTGAGGTTAGAACCTCATGGTCCAACTGGAGTCAAGTATGGAATCAAGTAAGACAAAAAAGACTATTTTTCTCTTTTAGCTCAGTTGTCCCATTCACAACTACAGGTTGTTTCCGCTCTGAATAATTCTGGTCCTAGGAGATAATTCTTGTCTAGCCTTCTTCAGGGCCTAAAGGTCATCTGGAAAAGCTGGCCTTTTGAAAAATATCGTCAACTTGTTTAAGGGCTCCCAACATGCAATCTTCAAACTGAATGTGTTCCACTAAACTCTGGAGTGTAACTCATGTAAGATGTTAATATATTTTTCTCCTTGATGAGTAAGCACACATAAACTACTATATACCTCTAAGGAATTTGAGGAATTTTATCTAACATAGAAAAGCTGAGTTCATTTGCCATAGATATAATAGAAAGATAAAGTTAGTTTTCATTCATTTATTTGTGTCTGAAGAAAAGATCGGTTTGCCGAGTTCCCTTATATCCTACATTGTGGCCTTAAGTGCTGTGTGTATGTTTCACTTTTTTTAAAGACTAGATTCTAGATATTTATTGTCCAGACCTATCAGTCTTTTTCCTCAGCTCAAGAACTTCTGAGAATGAAGTGCTCACAGACAGCTGAATTGTGAGAACCTCAGTAGCGCGCAGGATTGTGTTCCTTATCCAAGCACAGTAAACTTGAAATTACAAAAACACCCCCAAGTAAGGACATTGCTGATTTGTTCGAGATGAAACTATTCAGTCTTAAACTAGATATGTGGATTGAATAGAGAGCAATTAGAGACTATACTCATTAGAACCTCAATGGAATCACAGAATTTTTAAAATCTGTAATTCACAGATTAGGAAGGATTACTGAGTTCTTTAGTGGAAATGAAGTCACAATTCAGAAGAGATTTATAGATCTTGGTGAGTATAAATCATGTTTTGCATTCTGGAAGCTGTGCCTTTGGAGTGCAAACCTTAAGGTATATCTGAATTCTTAAGCCTCCCCTGCTAATCAGTGTGGCTTAGTTTGAAGAGAAACTAAACTAAAATTGATCCATGGCCATTGTTAAGGTAATTTATCTTGGAAAATTGAGAGCTAAATATATAAATCCCAAAATTATTCTGAAGTCTCCAGTTATAAGACTAAAGTTTGGGCCATATTTGGGTTTATGTGGCTCTGTGAAAGTATTTTCTTTTTCATGAAATTATGGACATTGAAGTTGAGAGTCACTCACTGTCCTTGCTGCATTTGCTGCAAACCTGGAATTGGAGTTTGATGTACTCTCGCTGAAACAGCTCAGTCTATTAAATTCCAGAGTTCCCATTCACAATGATGGATGAATACCACCAGGCCTAAAATTGTTGATCTTTGCATAAATACAGTGCTTTTTGGATTGCTTTTGTATTACTGCTGAATATCCATAAATTTGAATAGTTACAAGGTACTCCTTTGCTAGTGTTATGGGTTAAAAATAATGTGGTCCACAAAATATGAAACTAATTGTATGGACTCACTAGTGAAAGAAAAGTGGACACCCCAAAATTTGGACATCTTCAAAAAATGAGTCCTAGTGGTGATGGTTGCACAACAACGTGAATGTACTTAATGCCACTGAACTGTAAACTTAAAAATGGTTAAAATGGTAAATTTTACGTTACGTATATTTTACCACAATAAAACAAATAACTCTTTCCACTTGACTGCATACGGTAAATGGACCCTGAAAACAATTTTGGAATATCTGATGCCTAATTAAGAGGGCAAAAAGAAATATAAGCCCTTGTGGGTAAAGGGTCACATATGTTTGGTGATTGATAAAAACTAGACTATTGGTGTGAGCATGATGCAGTCTATACAGAAACTGATATATAATAATGTACACCTGAAATTACACAAAGTTATAAACCAATATGACCTCAATAAAGTAATTAAAAAAAGAAATATAACCCCTTGAAACATTCAGTTTGGTATAATAGCTATTTGGTATATAATAGCTGAAAAAGATATTATGTGACCATATAGTAACAGAGATATTCTGTAATAACAATAATAAGAGAAATTATGAAATAAGGGACTAGGGGACAAAGTTTCAGGAAAGTAAAAGGACTAAAACATGAGGGAAAAACTGATGAGAAGGTTAATGAAAGTTGGAGGGCAGTGAATGTAGAACCCAAGGGTGATTCCATGGTCATATACTAAGCAGATTCCCATGAGAGTGAGGAAGTCATCACAATGGTTTACAAATGGAGCACTAACTAAAATTGGCCAATGAAGATTACAGGAACAGAAGGGGTCAAGTGATAAGTAGTTGGGAGATGATCTATCAATACAAAATTGATAAAATATTGCAGTGAAACTGAAAATAAATACTTTGTCAATTTCCAGGGGGATGGGGACCTAGATTTATGAAGTTTATCTGCTATCTAGTAAGGTAAGGAATGCAGACTTTAGTTATATTCTGCAATATCTATTTTTTTGTTTGTTTTTATATTTATTTATTTTTGGTGAGGAAGATTGGCCCTGAGCTAACATCTGTTGCCAATCTTCCTCTTTTTACTTGAGGAAGATTGTTGCTGAGCTAACGTCTGTGCCAGTCTTCCTCTATTTTGTATGTGGGACACTGCCACAGCATGGCTTGATGAGCGGTGCTTAGGTCTGTGCTGGGGATCCGAACCTGCAAATCCTGGGCCGCTCAAGTGGAGTGTGCGAACTTAACCACTGAGGCATCAGGCTGGCCCCCAATATCTATTATTTAACACTTCTGTTCCCGTTAACCATTTTGTTACCTGAAAGCAATTCATGTTCTAAAACTATCTGTGATTTTTTTTCTCACAGTATTATAACAATTTATGTAAAGTGAAAAACATATTAAAACCATAATATACATCATTAATGGAAATATGCACATATATCAAAGTGAAGAAAAGTCAATTAGACCTTCCAGCAGATTACTTAACACAACTGATACTACACATCAACAGCAGGGCAGTGGAAGGAAGGGAAGGGTAAGGGAGAGGATGGGCCATTGGTGTATCTATTATCCACAGTTTTAGTACACAGAATCAGACCACATACCATGGGTCCCTCGTGTGTAACCATGAAAATTAATAACAGCAGCTAATATTTATTGAATGCCTAATGTATGCTGAATATTGTGCTGTGCATAAGCATATTACCTGTTTTATTTTGTTTAAACTTTATATTTCTCCAGGGAGGTAAGTACTCCCATTATTATCCTATTTTTCAGAAGAGAAAAGTGAGGTTAAGTAACTTCAGGCTTAGTGAAACAAAGCAAGTAGTGGCAAAACCAGGATAAGGAGATGCAGAGGTGGGCCTATTCATTTACTATCTCCCCAAATGCAGCCCTTTCAATCTGCTTGTTGCTCTTTTGTCATCTTTCATCCCCTTTGAGGTTGCCCCTGGTACTCATTTTTGCCTCATTACAAAGGCATAGTATTTTTTTTTCTTGTCTGAGAGAAAGGGCCTGGGTTAGTGCACAATGTGATTTGCCTCAGAGCACGGACCCATGAAGAGATGGCACTGCTGGTTGCTCTTCAGATACCAAGCACCTCTTGGTTCCACCTCTTTGAATCTGACTCCAGGTAGCATTGGAAGAGAGATAGAAATGCACATTAAAGTATTTCCTGTGCCATGCATTATCCACTAGCATTTTCTCATTTATTTCCCATAATAGCCCTATGAAGTAGAGGAAGTATTGCCATCTCCATTTTATAAATGAGAAAACTAATGTCCTGAAAATTTGAGTGACTTTCTTCAGGTCATACAGCTGGTGAGTTGGAATTCCATCCTCAGTCTCTCTGGCTCCAAAGTCCCAGCTCTTTCCACGGTACTGTGTTGCCTACTTAAAGAGCTAAATTAGGCTTGCTAGGAGGCTCCCCAAAATTGTTGGATAAGATGGCATAGAACAGCATAGACTAGATTGTAAATGTGGCTGAGCTGGAACGCAAAGCCTCTCCTGTGATCTGCTTGGGCTGACCTCCCTCAAAGAGGTAACCCTAACAGTTTGGAGATCACCTCATCACAGATGTTGCTCCAGCCTTCCACAGAACTACACACCCTGAGTATGACTCCATCTTTCAAATGCATATCTCAGCCTTCTTGCTGAGGGGCTGCCAAGGACTCAGTTCTGTCAACAGTTAACAGCATCCAGGCAGTGAGCCCTCCATGATCACTGCCCACCATGTCTCCAGTACGTAGGGGAGGATCATTTGTTATGTGTTCTCATAAAAGTTCTCCTTCAGAGCGCTTACATTAGTTTGTAATTATATATCCACTAATGTGATCATTTACTTAGTGTCCACCACTAGCTTGTAAGCTCCATGAAAGCAGGGTCACTGCCTGTTTTCTGCATCTCAAACACCTAGAACAGTGCTAAACAAGCATTTGTTGGATGAATGAGTGCTTTACCATCAAAGAATCAGATGATCAGTATTTTCCTTCCTTATCTGACCATAAAGAAAATATACAGAGGTTGCATGTGACTTGGATAAATGAACCTAACTGTTTTTGAGGTCTGTCTAAACATTTGTTTGTTAGAGGGCTAAGCGGTAGAAAAATGCTGACTCTTGCTTTGGTGCTCTGGAGAGCTTAAGCTTCCCTGAAAGCAGAGAAGAGCTCAGCTTACCTCTTTCTGGTGGTATTTGATCGCCACCTTCAGCTTGGCCAGATCATGGTACTTCTGAGGGTCAAGCTCTTCACTGTGGTCATCTCGATGGTTGAGGATGATCTCCAATTCCCGGGAGCTCCGAGCTTGGTCCAGCAGGTCTTTGGCAAAGAGCTTGCACTGTTGGGAGAGCTCCTCATACTCAGCTTTGAACTCATTCTCCACCTTGCTGAGCTCCTTGAGCTCCCAGCCCAGGCGAAAGGCAGTTAGGATGGGGTCCTCACTTGATAAGGCAATGAGTGAGGGGCTTGCCAGAGCTTTATAGATGTTCAGTCGGGAACGGGAGTGGCGCAGGCTGTCTACCTCTGAACTGGACACACACTCCACACAGTTGCAGCGGATCTGGTGGGGCCGTGGGATAGTGACCCGTTTTTGCACAAGCAACTTGATGATTTCGTAGTTGTTGGTGTGGGCAGCCAGCATGATGGGAGTGATGTCTGGTGTGAACTCGGAGAACTGGGTGTCCATCATCAGAGTGGGGACCTAGATACAATAAAATGAAAAAGCATAAAAAGGCAGGATTAAGGGTTGGAGGGAGAGGGAGCATGGGGCCCATCAAAGGGTAGTGATTCAGGCATTAGAGTCGCCATTCTTCTGTCAATTCCTTTTCTGACCATGATAGCTATTTGTGGATTGCTTACTGTGTGCCAGGTATACAGCACTTTACATGTATTTACTCATTTAATCCCCACAACAACCTTGTGAGGTAAATATCCAAATGAAGAAGTTGAGGCACACAGAGGTTAAAGAACATACCTAAGGTTACACAGCTTTTCGTAGCAGAGCAAAGATTCAAACCCAGGCAATGTGACTCTAGAGCTTGGCTCTTAAAATTATGCAACCACAACATGCCCAGTTCTGTCTGAGGCACAATGGGGGATACAGAGAAGTAAAGGACATTTTTCCTGACCTTCTGGAGCTGAGTTGGGTAGAGGAGACTTACATAAAGTTGGTAAGTAGGAGTACATAGTAGTATGTATTCAGTTCTAAGTGAGCACTAGAGACTGCAGAAATAGTTGCTTGAAAGGCTAAAGACAACCAGTAATCTTAAAGACCATTCCACTAAAGCTAGCCATGGAAACTGAAGACACTCTCAAATGGTTACATTGACTTTGTATGTATATAGGACTTCAGGGGACCAAAGAACAAGGCCAGACTGTGTTCCTCCAACTTTCTGTAGGAAAGGTAGAGAGAATCTGTTATTGTCAGGAAGAAGTACTCTTTATTTTATTTTTATTTTTTTGGTGAGGAAGATTGGCCCTGAACTAACATCTGTTGTCAATCTTCCTCTTTTTGCTTGAGGAAGATTGTCGCTGAGCTAACATATGTGCCAAAGGAAGAAGTACTCTTTAAATGAGGACCTCTAGGCTTGGAGGAGGGCCAAAGCGCCTTTGATAAAATTTTGTCCATGATGTAATGCTTGGTGTAAGTAGCAGCTACAAGTGAAAGGTAGAGGGGTTCTTTGGGTATTCCGGAGCATTTCTGGGTGAGGTTGCAGAACCTGATCAATGAATAAAAAAATCTTTCAACTTTAAAATGTGTCTTTTGGGACCCAGTCTGTTCTCAGTCTAATAGGGAAACAGAGGCAGCTTATTAGACCCACAGGAGAATCTCCGTGTGATAGGATCCAGATCTAGAGAATAAAGAGGACTGGACTAGTCAGAGGAGGCCTCATGGAGGGGTGGAGCTGTGTATTCAAACCATGAGTAGGACTCCAGCAGATTGTGAAATATTGATCTTAATACAATTAAAAAAAAAAAAACACAGCAGTTCCGACACTCATTTTAAATGGGGAGAACAAAACATGGATAATTGAGTCTCACAGAATAGACAAATGTTTTAATCAATAGTTTCTTTTTGCTCTTAAAATTTGTTTTTAGAAACCCACAGTTGCTGGCGAACTAACAAAAGGATGAGCTACAGTTTTTCATCATCTTTGCCTCCTTCCCACCTTAGATGAAGGATTCTCAAACAGGAAGTGGCCAGAAAAGGGGAGGAGACGGAGGGGGAGGAGTTTGCAAGAAATCTGTTTCCTTCATGGAGTGGTCGCATCAGCCTTTGGATGGCTGAGAGCTGGTTGCACATTGGTCATCAATTGTTTGGGTGTAGCAGTGAGAAAACATTGTTAAACATTTAGAGGGAGAAGCTACAAACAACACAGCAGGAAGTGAGCAATTGGCTCATAAAATAAACTGGACACAGGAAAGAATAATCTCAGAAATTAACATAAGCCTACAACTAAGGAAGAAGTAGGTCTGAATGGGTAGTGAACATAAAACACAACAACAGGCATAAAGCCTAGAGTTGGGAGAGAGAGTAAGTGAGCAATGTGTCACAGTCTGCCCAAGAAGAAAGGCGCTCAGATCTGGGAATCTGCCCCTTCTCAGAGGGCAGGGGCATTCATCAATCTCTATCATGATCTAGAGGCAGGAGGACAGGGGTGGAAGTAAGATAGTCTGTTGCACAGGATTCCCTGGGTTAGATTGGAGGTACGTGTCTGCTCCCTACCATGATGCACTTTCTGTCCTCTCTCTCTCTCCACTTCATTGCTCTTTCTACTTTCTTACTCTTTTTATTTTCTCTTTCCCTTTATGTCATTGCTGATGGGTCTGTCCAAGATATACTATGGTACTTTTGAATATTGCTTAGCCCCACTTGTGTCATGGAGCTGAAATGTTGCTGTCTATGCCTAGAATATGAAATGCTTTCTGGAGTCATCTGATTCTGTTGTCTTTGACTTGGTGCTCAAAAAGGAGTCTCTGATTCTACATTTGGCTTTCTGGGTACCTGACACCAGAGAGGAAATCTATTTGAAAGAAAACTGGTCTGCAATGACCAACCGTGTCCTCCTGCCCAGACTGCTTTTTCTCCTCCAGTCAAACTTACCATTCACAAGTTGCCACATCCACCTAGTTCGTTGGTCTCTGTGTGTAGGTCCTTGTGGTATCCCCTATGTGGAATGGTCTCTCGCCATTTCTCTGCCAGTGAAGGGCTGTTGTAAACCCCGGCTTCTTCAATAGCTCCTCCTCTTAACTAGATCCCATCCCTTACCACCACGCAGATGTTGTGGGCACTAGGTTACATCCCAGATCTCACTTTTCTGAACCATCCCTTATATTGTTCTCTAATTATTTCACATAATGGATTTCTTGCCCTCTCAATAAAGTTGTGAGCTCTTTGAAGGCAGAGCTGTCTTATATTGCTCTTATTTTCCCCATGGCATCTAGCACAATGCTAGACACACAACAGGCACTCAGCAAAAAGGAATTAAGTTTTCTATTCTCAAAATAAGGAATTGACTCTCATTTACAAACCTGGCTCCCACAATGTGAATCAATATGAGCTAGTTTCCTTGGGTCTTTCCTTCTCATGTCCAGCTGATGAAGGCAGACATTCCAAACTCTAAGGAAGGTTAGCAGATGGGCTCTATAGGGAAGAACCCTGAGGTCACAAAAACCTAGGAGAGTTCTTGCCTGTAATTTCTCAATTCTATTGCTTCGAGATGGAGACTCTGATCCAAAGACCACAGATTTCTACTCCTCTTCCTGCTTCTGCCTCTCATCTTCCTGCTGCTTTTCCTTTCCTAGACTGTTCAGGGATCATGGACTATCATCAGGACAGCCATGGCAAAGAAAGAGATTCTATAACCAGTGTCAGAGGTTTCTGATAATAATCTGGACTTTGTGATATGGTCTACAACAGGGGCCGAACAGGTAATGGGTAACATAAATGAAGGCTGTGTGTGGGTTCATATGCATAATTTGGATGAGTAAATAGTGGGAACTGGTGAACTGTAGAGTACACACCCTCTCAAAGGAGGCATCTGCTGCTCAGCTCCTTATTGTTACAAAATTGTTATAAGCACAAATGAGGCGGGGCTGGCCCGGTGGTGGAGCAGTTAAGTTAAGTGTGCTTGTTCTGCTTCTCGGCGGCCTGGAGTTTGCCATTCGGATCCTGGGTGTGGACATGGCACCACTTGGCAAGCCATGCTGTAGTGGGCATCCCACATATAAAGTAGAGGAAGATGGGCATGGATGTGAGCTCAGGGCCAGTCTTCCTTAGCAAAAAAGAGGAGGATTGGCAGCAGATGTTAGCTCAGGGCTAATCTTCCTCAAAACAAAAACAAAAACAAAAACAACAAAAACAAATGAAGGCCCAATGTTGTAATTTTTCAAAAGAAGTCAGAAATATGGATTTGGTTGAGAATCTCTTATAGTTTGAAATGTTGGCTCAAAAAATTTAAAGACAGTGTACAGGCCAAAAAAATACATATATGAGGCAATTTAGGCTTGAGTGAGCCATTTTGTGACTTTTGAGCTAGCAGATAATTTGTGAGACGAAGGAAGGATAAGCGAGGAGGCTGGACATTTAGGCAGGGACCAGATGATAAAAGGCCTTGTATGCCATGTTGAAAAACTTAATGTTATCTCTTGGCCATGGGGAGCCACTGAAGAGTTTTAATCAGGAGAGTGGCATAGCTGAACAAGTGTTTTACAAAGATCAGTTTGGCCAAAGTGTGGGGAATGGGCAGTGGTAAATGTGCTGGTAAATGTTTAACAAGCATCTCTCCATTAAAAAAAAATCTTGATTTGTAGTGCTTGCCAATTTCTGTGGTCTAAGTACTTGCATTGTGGCTAATTTCAAGCTACCAATATGTTATCGTGGAACAAAGCCTTGGGACGAGATGCATATAATAACCAGCTCTCGCCAGCTGATGTAAGCCAGCTCCAGCACACCACTGGATGAGTTTCAGAAAGAAGACTAGTTAAAAGATATCATTAGTCCAGGTGAAGAGATGCTGACATCTTAAACTAGACAGTGATTCTAGAGATAGACAGGAAACCACAGATTTAAGACATTCACTGGGTGTGTCTTCTTCATTGGAAGAAGAAATCAAGGATGTCAGGTTTCTGGATTGCATGCCTAGTGGAATAGTAGTATCATCAATGGAGATAGTTAACACAGGAGAAAAAGTAGGTTCAGGGTTAAAACAAGTTCAATTTTGGCCATATTGAGTTTGAAGTAGCTATGAGAACAGTCGCAGGAAATTGTGTAACTTTAGCGTGAATCTTGAAGGAAAGATCGGAGGTGGAAATGCAGATGTGAGAGTCTGCAGCCTATAATAGTAGTTGAAACTAAGAGAGTGCATAGGATCAGCCTCTGCCCACTCTGCCCTGGCTCCCCCAGAGCTGGGCTGCTGATCTGCCCAAGGACTCAGCCCTGCCCCAGTTTCCAGAGCAACGGAGTCTTGAAGTAGGAAGCCCTCAAGCGGCCAGCGTCAGCCTCCCCCATTCGAAATTCCAATCACTGGGGCTCTGTGTTAGGGCACTCTCCTTGTTTTGTTAGTTTCTGAATCCCAGCTTCTTCCCCACTTGTGCCCTAGTTTGTAAAACAAGATTCCTCCCTGGATCCCTAGTCTCAGTTTCTGTTCATGTAACTGGCCTAATAGCCCAGGTCTAGCATGTTTTCTGGATTATCCCTGG